TAAAGTAAAGTATATTTTATAAGGTTCGTCGGTTGCGTTTGTGCATAGTGTGTATCAGATACCTTGAACGGTGAAGTCATCTAAGTAGATAATGCACGTAAATAGCTTACCATCTTTTCAGAAGAACATCACAAGCTGCTTCGATAGATACAATAACGATTATAAAACTCCATTGAAAAAGATACAAATACTATTCAATTTCTAGGCAAACCTGTTTTGGTATCACCAATAGTTTCAATGATTTGCTTGTTTTATAGCAATCTTCTACCAGCCTCTTTTTTACTTTAGATAGAATCTGACAAGATCCCACTGACCACAGGAGATGTTATACAATTCTAGTATTTTGTGCTTTTAATAACAAAGATGTGAAAATAGAGTTGAAATTTTGCTTCACATTTTCCATAAAAATCCTGATTTTCGCCAGATCAGATCATTCGTAAGCGAAACAAAAAGTCAGATTCACCCAAATTTTTAAGCTTGCTATTGCCTCGCGAGCAAGATACAAGAACTCGAATCTTGTGTTTCATACACGATGTTTCATAATTCATGATAAAGATTATTAGGTCGGATAACATATTTGCGCGGAAGCTTCGTTTTCGAGAAAATTAAATTTAAATGCCAGTCGAGTAAACGCGTCCTTGATAAATAACTGATGTCACGGATTACTTGCTTAATGGGAACTATCAGCTTGAGCATAACGTTCCAATACGATATGTAAACGAGCACTGACATTTTACCATGTACAGAAACTGTCGCGACAGCCTGCGGCTTGTAGCATAATCAGTAACACCGGTTATTTATTAAAATTTAATTTCCTATAAAAAGCAAAGTCTCCCATGCAATGTTGTTATTCTTGATTTTCGTTTTACAGTAATTTCTCCCTAATTCGCGCTCATATTGCGCACAAAAATGGAGAATTTGGGAAGAGGAGATGCGATTATTCGAGCCTTGCGTCTCGTTTTTATAGTTGTGATAATCGGTAAGTATAATAATCATATCTCCTCTTCCCAAATTGTCTATTTTTGTGCGCAATCTGAGCGCGAATTAGAGAGAAATTACTGTATTTACAGTCACATAGTATCTACCTGATTCAATTTATACCATGAATTATGAAACACCCTGCATAGTTATGTTCTATCAAGGATATTGAAGTGGAGAAACATGGCCCGGTGTATTTTCCTTTAATCAACGATCACGCCGATTTGCTCGAGACAGCACGTCTATTAAAATAACGGAAGAAGTTATCTCGCAATCGCGAAAATTTTCTTCATAATTCACTCGTTCGTATAGTTTTATTCGTAAGCGAACAAAAAGTGTATCAGAGTCGATCGCAAATAGACAACAGTCTCCTTCGTTTGTGATTCAAATGTGAAACGAGAAAAACCGTTCGCTGTTTCAATTAATCGCGCTTGTTAATTGGTCACTAATCCAAAAATGGTGAACGTTAAATGCCAATCACTGTAAATTGCGAAACTGAAAATGGCTTAGTACGAACGTGAAATTTGATTGTCGTTTAAAAATTCTATCCTTGCTACACGTTCAAATCACGAAATGAAATTACTCTCGTTGCCAGAGAAACAGGTAAATAATCAATTGATTAAATAGCCGCCCTAATTGATTCTTGTAAGTAAAATAATTAAATGTGACTCTTAATTGCCTCGTTGGTTCATACGGTGTAGCTATCTCTAAAGACTTAGAAATGCTGACGAAGTGAGGTGAAGTAAAGTAACTTTCGATTTGGCACATTCTCGATGTTCCTGACAATTGATAATTACGCGTTCGTGTTAACAGAGCTGCAAAATTATGAAAAGGACATGTTTCATAATCACAGTATCATAATCTCTGAAATTACATAAATCAATAATTATGTTTTTATTTTATATAATATTTAACTTCTAACTTTTTCAGCTATTTCAGTTTACTAAGTTACATATTAATGATAATCTATGTATTATGTATAAGAATAAATATAAAATATTAAACAAAATGGTAAAAAAATATTTAAGATAATAAAACGGAATTACGATTTTGATTCGTAAAAAGTAAGCATACTTTGTGTCAATGAATTTACCTACAGGTAAAGCGCACATGCTGACAGGTGTTAATTATATAACAAAACCACTTATCATAAGTCTTCTCCTGTTTTGCATAAAAAGCACGTTGTAGGCAGCAAACGTGATCAATATTTTTGGCGCCGATATCAGCGTCCTGTTGTTTTGCAAAAAAGTATACTAGTTCATGACTCAATTCTTTTATATCTACAAAAATTTTTTTTTTGCATAAATTTACTCAGAGATCGTTATTTAGCAAAGTTAAAATTGCATACATACTTCAATTGTAAACATTAAATAAATTAATCATACTAAAATCATTCGCTACGAGCAATGCTTAAAATTTTAATTCGAAGGGTGTAATTAAAAGCAACATAATAAATTATGTGAATGAAATGAGTAAGAATTCGAATGGCTATGGCAAGAGAGAAACTTTTGGTGACTCCCCACAACGAAAGTACACACGTCATCGTCAGTGCTGAGGAAGTTGAATATTATAACCCATCAATCATGATCTTTGCTGCTACAAATAGAAACGAAAGAATCATACAAGTTAGATCAATCAACATCTCTTCGCCCCTTACGTTATTCTTTATCCTATTCGTCACTTTTTTAAATTCTTCCTAAAGTTAAAAACACTATGAAATTACAATAAACAAATTCTTTAGTTATATAGATGAGGTCGATAATAAATCGTTACGTTAAATTCTGGCGAATAAGCGAATTGAGATTTAAATATTATAAAATAATAAACGCATGATTAACACAAGATTGATATACAAAAATATGACATAGAGTATGCTTAGGATCCATTTATTAATTAGAATTAATTATTATTAATTAATTATTAGAATTCCATTTATTAATCTTTTTCAACATATTTTTGAAACACTCTTTCTAGAAACATTGTTAGTTATATCGTAGACCATACTAAAATATATGAAAATTTAAGTTAATTGTTAAAAACTGGATAGTCAAACAGCGATAACTATACTCTAGGTTCAAATGGACCCGAGTCCCATTCCTCGTGTATCAAATATTATAGTATTATAAATGGTTGACATATAAATTTTCTAATTTTTCATAGTAAAGTACGAAAATGAAATGCGAGAAATATATCATAACCTTGTGTTCAGTTTACACAGCTAGGTCATTTTAATGATTTGTTCGATTCTTCCGACCCCAAAGGTGTTTACCCTTCGGCACATTATTAGCTTAACGGATATAAGAAAACCCATTAGAACGATTGCGCATGTATTTTGCTTTTAAAGGTAAAAGTTTGACCAAACTTCCTTTATCAGAGCATTGGCTATCAGTGTTACTGCCTCCCAAGTGTTAAAAACATTATACAATTTTCTCTTTACATTATCTTGTGATAACGCCCGCTAAAACATAGTTAGCAACGACCAGTCAGGCTGGTATAGCAACTGGAAAATCGTCACGAACAAACCACAGTTCATGTCCTAATATTTCAACGAATTACGTACCGAAATGCTACTGTAAAAGTAGTGCCAGGCAACTTAAAAGGGTTAATTAACTGGAATGATCGATCGCACTGAATAATTAATCTCAAGTGTGTAAATTATAGCTTATGAGTGTTGAACACAGTTCTTTATTTTAATTGATCATTTTGTATTACACGTGTCGGGAGCCATTTAGTAGCAAAATCACTCAGCTTTTATTCAATTATTTATAATATGTTTCGTTGGATATTCAGACTCAAAGTGGATTTAAATAAACACCTGTAAATTAATTAAATATAGATTAGAGATATCTATTTTTAATTAATTGGATATCAAGCTATAATGCAATGTCATGTATCTAATTAATTGTGCAATAAAAAAGTGAGATGATTTAACTGAAATATACTGAAGCAATATACTGATATTTCAGTATATTGCCGTTTTTTGACACAATTTTGTTGCCGTTTCTATGACATTTATATATTTATAAATGTCATAGAAACGGCAACAAAATTAATGAAAGTTTAATGACCTTAATAATAATCTTCAGACTTATTACTTAATGAAAAAAGAATTACTCCATGTACTGTTCATTAATGAATTTTCACTAAAATCCATGTAATAAGTTCTAATCAATTTTATAAATTTGAAAACCGTCGAAGCATATCAAAACTTAGCATTTTTATTGAATGATGATAAAACGTTTATTTTCGTAGAACGATAAGCAAACTGCGGATTTTACACGCTTATAACAAAAATTAGTATTTGTAGCTAGATTAAAAAGATTTAGGAGTATCGATATGACCTTCGATTTATTGACGCTACTAACAAATTTTTATTCGACTGCTGTTTCTTTCAAAGATGCGTGACGAGTTTAATGATGTGTCGTGGATTCTTTAGCACGACGAATTGTTTGTAGTGCTTATATGGAAAGCTCATTTACCATCGTTTGCTTAAATTTGCATATCTCATTGCTCGGTTGAATAGACACACCATCGAATCTTGTAGGTGACGCAAGTAGAAAAAAAAGAGAGGAATCGAAGGAACGATGAGTAACTGACAGCATGATATATGGGTCGTGTCAGTATTCAATAGAAGATACGGGCTGCATGTAACGGCTGTGCCCCCTGCCTTCACCCTAAAATATTCGCACAAACAAAAAAATCCGACCCTTTTTTATCTGTGCCACCAAAAAGCGTTCGCTGACGATTCCCGATGGCTAACGTATGACGCTTTTGTGTCCCTTCACTTTCTCCCATCACGCTTTTACTTTACGAAATCGTTAACATTCGAATCGGCAACGAGAACACTGTCTAAATGTTTATTTTGCGTTGAAAATTGAATGAACGAAGTTTCATGAACTGATAAAGCTTTATGAGATAATTAACGATAAGACATTTTTTGTTAACAGATACAATTTTTCAATAAATTATCGTATAATATCAATAAATAATTCGTTAATGAATATCTATACTTGTATAATTACCTTACTGTTCACGCAGGCGCAAGAAATGACACAAATTTCGGTGACAACACTTTAGCCATTGTAAGTAAATATCGTGAAATGAAAGACTTATAGAACATTAAAGACTTGTTATTCTATAACACGTATAACACACTGAATTTTTATGTTAACGAAGATTTCACTGAAATGTTTCGTTTATATTTCTCCATGAAATTGATTATTTTATTTTTATTGCCACAATGCGCTGTTTGGAAGAAAAGTTTAAGGAAGAAACGGAAAGAAGAACGCACCGTCGAAATCGTAGGGTACGCAGCGCGTGCAATACTGGTGACTTCGACTACACAAGGCTCAACTCGAAGCTGTTATGTCAATGCCTTACAAATGTGATCCCTGCATACACCGCTGTATAGCTGGAAAAAGCATATTTTGATCGTTATACAGGGGCAGTATTCAGATGCACAAATATCAAAGACAAATATTTTTAGTAAGAAGGATGTTTTAATATTGCTAATTTGGTAATTTCGTACATTTGTACATAGTTACCCAAATGAAATATCACGGCTTCAGGCTGAAATAGAGCACAAATTAGTTGAAATTGTCTAGTTTCCTTATTTTAATGTAAAGTGTACTTCATTATATTAATTGTGAAAAACAATATCATTCAAGTGATCCTTCATTTGACCTAATTTCATTAATAGCAGCTATGATATGGTATGTAATGAATTCTATACATTATCAGTCAAGTATATTAGGAAAAGATTAAGAAATAAGTTCATGTTATTTATAAAAATAAATAAGATACGTTGCTCAAAGTAAAATTTCAATTATTTTTTTGTAGATAATGCAAAACATTTGACTTCTTTTTATCTGTGTTGGAGACGTGCTTTTTTCGAATTTGGCATTACAAAAGAAGCATTAGTTTAAAGAATAAAGCAAAAACAGGTTAAATATTATTCAAGGATCAAATAATCATTATTTATGATCCTAATTACATAAATATATAATTATGTATTCTTCAGAAGCGTGTGAGGTTTAAGAAAAAATTTTCTCAGGAATTGAATGAACGCAGAAAACAGTATAGTTGATTGCCTATCCTAGGAGTTACAGTAAATCCTTGTTTTTTACTGTTAGACGCCAATATCACAAGATCAAATATCTATATTTATCCCAAGAAAGCTTTAATTAATTTCTTTTAATCAATTAAACAAATGAGGTTTAATATATTAATTTACGGACATTTTCACAATAAAACAATCTCTTATCTTAAAAATGAAAGGCTCCAAAATTAATACATCTGTATTTGGAATTAATAAATCCTGCATTTCATCCGCTGGTTATTCAAATATACGAATCGAGTAGTGGAAAATGGAAGATAACTTTGTTTTTATTGGTGGTAATTTCAATAATGTTATTCATTCCAAGGATTTCAGTTTGATGATACGTCTAAACGAATTTTACATTGTAATTTACTTTCACATATTGGCTCTCGGGGTCACATGCAGTGGTATGTATGTGTATGTTAAGAACGTCACGTGAGATATCCTCCTCAAAATAGAAGGAATGAAACGGGACAATAGATTTGTGTATAACAATATTCTATTCACAACGATGATATGATAAAGTAGCATCGAGACGCAACAATTTCTTTCCGGAAACGGTATAACTTACATTATATATATACGTATATATTACATTATATATATAAATATATATTATGTATTACTGTATGTATATGTGTATATGTATATATATAACGTAATATAGCATAACAACATTGCGGAAAGCTTGAAAACACTCCATTCAATTACGTTTTATTTTCATTTTTTCGTCGTTTATTGGGATATATTTATATGTGTATATATAAATATATATATTATATATACAAATATATAAATATATATATTTATATATACAATTCATATGCATATGTACGTATATATATGTAATATGTATATATATTACTTCCTAGTATATACTTTATGTTATGCTGTGCTACGTTAGAAACTTTGAACAATAATACTTTCCATTTTCAGCACATCACCTTTCGCTCGATTACGAGTATACAATAAATAAATATTCACTCATGCCGTTTTCATTTATCACACACGACTATGGTTTCACAAAAAAGTTCTACATCGTTCGCACTAGCAGCGCTTGTAACCACTTGTTCGTGTAACGTACACTGTTTCCTTTTGATAAGTGCGTCCTGCGATAGCCACGAAGAGGATAGTAGCGTGAAAACGAAATATGTAAAGCATAACTTGCGGATGAGCATATGTAAATATAAATTAATAACGAAATAATTTAAACTCGCATCAAACTCTAAGCACGCAGAGTCACCTCTTCTCTGACTATTCTCGCATCCTACAAAATACATATTTCCGCCCTCGCATCATTCGCATGCTAAACTCAGCTTTATTCTCACTTTTACACCTTCGATCCATGTAGCCACACTTGTGTAACATTACGAGTCCCTTTAACAAAGTAAAGTATCTTCCAAGAAGATGTCTTTCTTCGCAATGAGCGAACCATCTGGGGTCCGTAATCCTAAAACAGACTTGTCACAACGTAAAACGGATACATTTAAAACGTTCTACTACTATAACTCCTCAGTGAGATCAGCAGTGTTACCCCTTTTTTCGCACACATTCTTGCAAGGATTTAAAAGTCGTTGACACAGCGGTATCGAGTGTAAATCACTACAATTTAAGATTACATAGGTGTTACATTAAGCTCTGTTAAAACGTACGCACAAGTTGGAAAAGGGTTCGACTGCTAAATTCAATATTGTTACATTTAGAACTGACTTCGATAGCGCCATAAATGTGTAGCATTGATTGTACTTCGATACATTGTTCGTCCATTTGTGTTTCTAAGCCTCTTACAAAGAGATTATACGAAGAACAAACTTTAACTTGAACCATCTATCTGATTTAATAAAAATGAGATGGTACATCAATCGGGTACATGGAGCGATTCTTAGGCTCATTTTCTTCATTTTTTCCGTGTTTCGCTGCTTGATAACATTTGCTTTGTAACTCATAGACATCCTATGCAATAAAATACGTCGAAAATATAGAATTGAATTTCTACAGAAGAGTCCCGGTTTGAAGAAAGTTGAATCTGAAGAGTTGACGGATACACGATCGCTTAAGAACATATTTAATGCTACTGTAGGCGGAAGTGTACGTGTACAATATCTGACGGATAAATCGACGGAGAGCTCAACTTTCTTGCAATCTCTTTCATAAAATTTCATTCTATTATTTTGTCGTTACTTCTTACGATATCGTTATTATCTTTTAAACTATCGTCAGTTATGAGACATTTCGTTAAATATATCGTTCGTATCTTGTGAAATGTTGTTTTGAAATTGGTGATAAAGTGACGGGGGGTGAAAGATACATGAACCTCCCACGCAAATAATTATAATTAGTAGGTATTGTCGCTCGGACAAAAGTGGTGCCAGCCACTTCTACATCACAACCAAGGGATCTAAATTAGACACCTCTAGATACACTCGCGCTCGTCACTACTCTTCCTCTCGTCCTTTCACTCGAATAATAAAAAAAAGAAATAACCAACAAGAAACTAAACACAGAAGCAGGTACTCTAAGAGTTTATCGTGTACCGTACGATATCGATACAGATTTGATCACAAAGAGAGACGAAGGATAACCGATAGTAACATCTAGTACGCTTCTT